TGCACAGTTAAAATCCACCAAAAATATTCAAAGTTAAAAACCCACAGCATCCCTGACTAACTCTTCAACACATTCATCTTCCGGTAGCAGATTTCAGCCTGCTGCTAGAAAGACAAAAGGGAGGGGGCCATTCTAGCTTCCCTGGGCAGGGAGTTCCAGAGTCGAAGGGCAGCCACCGAGAACGCCTGCTCTCTTGTTCCCACCAATTGAGCTTGAGATATAAGCAGGATCAAGAGAAGGGCCTCTCCTGAAGATCTCAAGGCCTGGGCAGATTTTTACAAGGGGATGTGGTCAGTCAAATAGTCTGGACCTGAGCCATCTAGGGCTTTAAAGATCATAACTAGCACTTTGAATTGTGCCTGGAAACAAATTATAAGTGGGGCTTCCCCCAAAGACAATTTGTAAGCTGCCAGTAAAATACAATAGCTAGACTGCTGACATTAAAGGCTTATAAAAATCACAGTGGTATAAAAAATAACAGTGATTCTAAATTACTGGTTTGAATTCAAGATACTGGTATTGATATTTAAAGCTCCAGACAGTTTGGGACTTTAATGTTTGGAGGAATTCTACTTCCCATATATACCTGACAAATTAGTGGAATGGATCTGACATAACTGTAGTAGTTATAAAATATAATGATGTATTGTCTCCTAACCCACTTTCCCAAAGCTACCTTGACATTCAACAGCCACATTGAGAAATTTAGGTCTGCTCTACTGGCAATGAAGGAACTACAGAATTATGTATCCAGGCCCTTTATGCCAGTGAGCTGTAGTGCAACAAGGAATTTCAGCAGAGGCTCTGGTTCCGATAGTCACACTACAGCTCCCTGACAGGAAAGGACTTGAAACCTCATTTGGCAGTGCCTCTATTCCTATTAGTACATACTTTTGTCACTGCTGGGTATACACCTGTTGGATGTTTACCAGGCAGCCTCAGGAATGGGTGAAGGAGGTCCATTCAACTGGTGATTAAGGTGCAAGTAGGATGCATTTGATTGTTCTCTCATCCACAAGGCTGTGATGGGGGTCCTGCTTCTGATTTTTGCAGTCTCACTTACTTGTGGCAAAGGAGATGCATCTTCCAGTGCCCTGATCATCAGTGGCTCAGATCTCCTCTGCCCAATCCTTAATTCAAGATTTTCCCCCTGTAACTACAATATTAAATGCCAGTCATTATTCATAATCTTGAGCTGCAGCAGCACAAGAGAGAAGGCTCACACAAAACACTTTGTGCCTTGAGGGAGGCAAGACCCACAATAAGATCTCATTCCTTTCTTCATCATGAATTATTCCACTCGAGTCCCAAAGAATCCAGTACTTCCTTTCTTCCAATTATACAAATTAGTGGTTGTTATGAGTTCATTTACACTTGTCTCAAAGTTTCTTAAAGGGGAAGGTTAGCACTCTTTATCACATCCACTGAATTTGGACTGGAATAGTATGAGATGGATATATTCTATGTCTTTGCAGAGATTTTATGAATTATATTTTATAACACATTTGTTTCAGACAAATGTAACCAATACAGTGAAGTATGCAATCCATTGAGCATTTCTCCCACACAACATTACAAGTACATGAACTGTGAATTGTGTTATTAAGTTATAAGTTACCTTCCAGTTAAAAACAATGACATTGATTGCACCCTGGGTGAATGCCTGTTGAAATGATAGGTAGACCCCTGCCTGCATTTCATAAAACAAAGCCTGTAAGGAGTAACAGCTGGATATAAAAGAAACAGTTTAAACTCCTTGTTTGATATGGGTAGCCCTTCACAAGTGAACAATGTTCACATTAATACATTCGGCTTGCTCTTTCTTTAAGGGGTGGAGGGAAACTTTATACAGTGATATAAAATGTTGATAAACATCGTAGAAAAGAGAGAGTCTGAACACAAAGCTCTCTCTCTCTTTCTCTCTCTCTCCCCCTTCTCTGATGCTCTAGGCATTTTAACCTGCCAGAATCAAAATCAACATGTTGTCCATTCATTGTCTCGTGGAAAATTTAACTTTCCATTACAAGTTTAGACCTACCATGTTTTCCCAAAAATAAGACATACCCATAAAATAAGCCATAGTAGGGTTTCTAAGCATTTGCTCAATATAAGCCATACCCTGAAAATAAGACATAGTGATAGGTATGGCTATGCAGCATACCGGTGAAGAGTGGTAAAGAAGATGGGCAGCCCTTCTTATCTGCCCCATCATGACAGCTCCTATCTCGGAGGTGACCAGAGAGGTGCGGGCAGCCCCACCAACAAGTTCAGCTCCCCCTGTCAGGTCTTGGTCATTCTGTGTGTGCTGCAAGCTGAGGCATAGAGGGAGACATAGAAACTGAAAGTAAAAGTCTCCTCAGTGAAGGGAGGAGCAGGACACTCTACTTTAGGTATTGTGTGTCCTCAGTGGGTAGAAGACTTCACTATAACTATATTTAAATAAATATAGATTGTTTTTCCATACTTAATAAAAAATAAGGCATCCCCTGAAAATAAACCATAGTGTGTCTTCTTGAGGAAAAAAAATAAGACATTAGGTATTGTGGAACACTCAGAATATTGTAATTTATGTTAAATCTATAAGGGGAATCCACAAAAAAGTTCAGTTAGTTCTTTTCTAACTGTTGTAATTGTATGTGGCTTAGTGTGAGTCATTGATATACATATTTTGAGGGTTGCAGGTTAAATCTCTGCCACCATTTCACTTTACAGATACTAAATTGTCAACCAAGATGTCCACAAAGAACTGGATTTAACCTCCAGGTTTAAATCCAACACACTGCCAGTGAAAGCCATTCAGCTGCAAGGTGTTGATGAAACTGGAACTATGCACTGTAAACCATTGGATAAACATATTGTGAAGTAACATGTCTGTTAGTGACATGTCCCTTAAAATCTCCAATATCCCAGCAGATAAACCTCTTTAAATACATAAACCAGGAGTGGGAAAATATGGTACATATGTCATATGCATACCCACCTTACTGTTGAAACCACTAAAATCCCTAACCCTCTGATACATGTGCCAATTTTGAGGTGATTTTTTGGAAAATCCAAGCACCAAGCAAAAACCTCCGAAGCCAACCTTAAGTATGGAACCTTAGGTTTCAAGCTCCCCATTAGAACTAACAAGGACTCCATAAAATGAAAAACACTGAAAACTGCAATCAGGAGTGTTAAAGCACTTCTAGTGCATCCAATCATGCAGCTTATGGGTGGGGGAGAGGGCCAAAACTGTCATGAATCCATGGGAAAATCTTTGTCTTCAGAGTACCAAGAGGTTTTGTGAAAGGGTTGAAGAACATAATTGAATCTAGTTTATATGTGTGCGTGCACACACACACACACAGAGAGATAATGATGAGATAATGGGGGAGAGAAGAGACTTAAGACCTCTACACATGTGGAATCATAGAGTATTATCACCTGCTTCGGGGGTGTGAGGACCTGTTGCTCTGCACTGTCCCAGGTTCCCCCTACCTCATCACATGAGGGGAAGCCTCAGTAAGCCAGCTCAACTCATTGTTTCCTATGGAAAGATGGGAACCCTCTGTCTAATTTTAGTCCATGTGAAGAAGTCCTAAACTGCATATAAAAGACAACTGAAACATCAGTTTTCAGGATTGTGAGCCAGAGACACCCACAGAAATAAAAGGAATAATAGTTAGTTTTCACTTAACTTTCCAAACTCCTTTTGAAATGCCTTGACATTCCATATGAATGTTGTTGTAATTGTTGTTTCTGCTCTGTAAAAAAGTGAGGTGCCCCACAAATCACTATATTTCTAATTCAGTATGGTATCAGCTATTGGCTTCCTTGTGAGTAGGTGGTGAATTTTTCAGCATCTCCTCCCAAATTTTAAAGATACTGTTTTGGATATGTGGTTCAGCTCCTTAGCTAACTGCTTTCCTATCTTCCTGCTGATGTGGAATGAAATTGACAAAGCAGATTTTCTGCTCCAGGAACACAGAAGTCGCCACTCTCTGTATAATTCACTGTATTGATTGCAACTCAAGTGTCCAAATGCAAGCCTAATCCACTAACTGTGTCAGTCAAGACAGGCTTAATAAAATGAGGAATAAGCTTTCACACTTAAAATCAGTTTTTGATGGGCTTTGGACTTTTTCCAACACAGACAGAAATTAAAAAAGAGCACTTCAGTCTTTAAACTAAGTGCAGTGTGTCCTTGATATTCATGATTTTGTTCTTGCGATACTGAAATCCATAGATACTCAAGTCTCATTATATACAAGGGGTTTGTAAAATGGTGCCCCTTACACAATGGCAAAATCAAGTTTTGCTTTTTGGATTTCTAAAAATATTTTCAAACTATGGATGGTGGAATCCGTAGATGCAGAATCTGTCAATACAGAAGTCCAACTGTATATTTTTTTATTTATTACTGCACTTGCATCCTGCCCTTCTCAACCCCAAAGGGGACTCAGAGCACCCTTATAAAGGCAACCGTTTGATGCCGCGTGTACACATATCGATAAATAATCAAACACATTAAAACACTAAAACCAACCCATTAAAACATCACATTAAGCAACAATTTAAAATCACATCATCCAAGTAATAATATAGGGCCAGTCCGAGTTGTCAGTGTTAATTTATAGTCTCTTATTGGACTGTTTCCATTACTGAGCAAAGGCCTGATCCCAAACCCATGTTTTTAGGGGGGGGGGGGGGGGGGGGTGAGGTATTAAGAATTCTGCAAATTATTTTTCCCTTTCATTTTTAACTGCTTTATTAGTAAACAACACTGTGTTCAAAACCCTTGGTTTTGGGGAAGCTGTGGCAGTATATCAACTTCTTTGCTGTGGAAATAAAGCAAACAGCCAAGCTTTAAATTTCAACTTAATTGGTACCAAGACAGGGATCTCCAAGTGTAAAGTCTGTGTTTTGCTTAATTTGATTGCCTGCTTCTGCTTGCTGCTTTTGACTTATGGCCAATCTCTCTCTCTCTCTCTCTCTCTCTCTCTCTCTCTTACAAACAGAAAGCTGACCTTGCTGTGGCCCCATTGGCTATTACATATGTTCGAGAGACTGTCATCGACTTTTCCAAGCCATTTATGACTCTCGGAATAAGTATTTTGTACCGAAAACCCAATGGTACAAACCCGGGCGTCTTCTCCTTCCTGAATCCTCTCTCCCCTGATATCTGGATGTATATTCTGCTGGCTTACTTGGGTGTCAGTTGTGTGCTCTTTGTCATAGCCAGGTAACATGTCAAACTTTTTTGTGATTTTTTTGGCAATTGTTACATTCCCCTAACCCCACAAGAATAATTGTCAAAAGTCACAAATTCTTTGTTCTTTCCCCCCCTCTTTTTTATTTACTAATCTGCAGAGTGCAGATGTAAAATCAGTCTTCCAAGGGTCTCGCACAATTATTCGAAGTGTCCTATACTACAATTTACATTATCTTCATTGTGCTGGTTATGTACCTGACCTGTAATACACTGGTTTTGGTTGTTGTTTTTAAAATACACCTGTTAACAGTAAACTGAAGCATTGTAGAGGGTTGTCAGGAGCCACTCTTCTCTCCTGTGTGTGGATTCTTGTGTTTCTTTTCTGAAACACACACGATTTTAAAAAATTTACTATGGAAAGATTTAGCATAATAGTAAAACAGTGATTCTGATCAGGCAGCCAAGAATTGTTAAAACAGATACAAAAATGAATCCTCATGAGTCCTTTCACATGATTAATATGGTTTGGAGCAAGAAAGGAAGAACATGCCCACTAGCCTAGAGATTTACATTGTATCACCTACTAGCTTTGCCCTATCATGAAGTCTTCGTAAAATAAGGATGATCAGAGGGTGGTCTTGCAGTCAGAAGGTTGCCACCTAACGACCATCCATGTGATGATGTCAAAGACTGTTTTTGTAACCATCAGGTTTTTTTGAGGCTGTTCTTTTCTTTTACCACCCCCAGGAGCCGGGCCCTTTAAGGAAGCCTCAAATAATAATAATAATAATAATAATAATAATAATAATAATAATAACTAATCTTTATTTATATCCACTTTATCTTGCCGTGCTTTGATCCGTTCTGGTCTGGATACCATATTAATTAGGCCTGGTTGATCAAGAAAAAATTTGGTTCTAAAATCGATTTGTAATTGGGGTGTTTTTTTGTTTCGATATTTAAAATAATTACAAAATTTTCCCCCTACAATCCGTTAATATTTACGAAAATTTCGTAAATATTAACGAATTGATTCGTTAAGATGGCGGACCCCCGCGCATGCGCAAAATCACTTCCGAAGCTTCGTTATTGGTGGGGGGTCTATTCGTTAATGTGATAACGAATCAATTCGTTAAAGCGACGGGCGCGTTTGCGCATGCGCAAACGCGACTTCCGAAACTTCGTTATTAAAACTTCGTTATTAAAACTTCATTATTAATAACTTCGTTATTAAATATTTTGGGTTGGCAAAAGGAGCGCACTGGTTGGAACTACACAAATGATGAGCGAGCAGTGTATGTATGTAGCACTTTGTGTTGGCAAAAGGAGCGCACTGGTTGGAACTACACAAATGACAAACGCACACACAGCCACCGAAGACTCTTTTATTTTTTTAGAATATTTTTGTATTTTTAAGAATAAAAGGCAGGTATTTTTAGAAAATATTCAGAAATGGAAACTGAACCAAAAACTGGCCCTGATGTAGAGCTAACACAGGCAGGAGACAGCAAATGAGAGCACACAGCAACAGAAGAGTCTTTTCTTTTTTAGAATATTTTTTGTATTTTTTAAGAATAATATTAAAATAATAATATTAAAAAATATTCAAAAATGGAAACTGAACCAAAAAATGGCCCTGATGTAGAGCTAACACAGGCAGGAGACAGCAAATGAGAGCACACAGCAACAGAAGAGTCTTTTCTTTTTTAGAATATTTTTTGTATTTTTTAAGAATAATATTAAAATAATATTAAAAAATAATATTAAAAAATATTCAAAAATGGAAACTGAACCAAAAAATGGCCCTGATGTGGACCAAACACAGGCAGGAGACAGGGCAAATGAGAGCACACAGCAACAGAAGAGTCTTTTCTTTTTTAGAATATTTTTTGTATTTTTTTAAGAATAAAAGGCAGGTATTTTTAGAAAATATTCAAAAATGGAAAATTAACCAAAAAATGGCCCTGATGTGGACCAAACACAGGCAGGAGACAGCAAATGAGAGCACACAGCAACAGAAGAGTCTTTTCTTTTTTAGAATATTTTTTGTATTTTTTAAGAATAATATTTAAAAAATAATATTAAAAAATATTCAAAAATGGAAACTGAACCAAAAAATGGCCCTGATGTGGACCAAACACAGGCAGGAGACAGCAAATGAGAGCACACAGCAACAGAAGAGTCTTTTCTTTTTTAAACATTTTTTGTATTTTTTTTAATAATTTATAATCTTCCCAATACTCTTCCCCCTCTATCCCCAACGGCCCCATGAAACCCCAAACAATGGCCCTGCTGTGGGCCACCAACCCCGGCCGGCGCCCAGCCCCTGCGAGCCACCGCGCCCCGCCGCGTCTTTTTCTTTTACTTTCGCCTTCCATTTTTGTATTTTTCCCGCCTCCCTCTTTCCCATCCTCTTCCCCCTCAGTCTTCCCCCCCCCTCTTACACACCAGGTCCCTGCCTCTCCCCCCCACTGGCCCTCCTCTTCAGCAGCTCCCCCCGGCCGGGGTCACGACCCAGCCCCTCCGAGCGCACCCGCCAGCACCCAGCCGAGTCCTTTTCCTTTTTCGATCTTTTTGTATTTTTCCGACTACTCTTTCATCACTTCCCACCCTACTCTTCAAAATCTTCCACCACACATGTGCAACACTGACCCCGCCACCAGAGCCCCTGGGCTAGTGGCCAAAAAACCCGAAGGCAAGGCGACCGCCCCTGATAACCAATGACCGCACCCCGCACCCCGCACCAGGCTTTCTTTTATTAGAATCTTTTTTGTAACTATTAACTTTAAAGAATAATAATAGTACTAATATTCCGCCGTAACAATCCTCTTGCCCAAAATATTTCAAAACCAGAAATTAAAATCAATCACCTTCCCCCCAACCCCACCGAGACACGTACACTCGGAAATGCCAAGCAAGCAAGATAAGCAGCAACTAAGCACACTAGCAGCCAGGAATGAACCACGGAGTACACTGCGCAAGGCGACTGCCTCCCTCTCCACAGATTGACTCGCCCAGCCCACAAGCCAACCCCCATATGCCCCCCCACTCCCGGACCGTCTCTCTCTCCTCGCCCGTCTGCCAGCACGCGCTGTATCCACGGCTCGCGCGATGGAATGCCGCTTTATGACATCAGGCTACAGGCCCCCGGCCACAATCAACCCCCGCTCCCGGTTGCCCTGCTTGGGTGCTTGGGAGCGACCGGATTGGCCTCCCGAGGCACCCAGCGCCCCTCATACCCCTTAACGCAACGAGCGGCACCGCTCCGTACCATCTGCTGGAGGGGTGCCGCCGTGTCGATACTGTTTTAACCCCCTCCGGGTTGACACTGTGGTGTTGCACGTCCCGCATCGGCCCTCTCCACCCCCCGGGACACTTCCTAACCGCCTTTCCCCGGTAGACGAGCCCCCATCCGATAGACGTCAGATTTCCGACCCGCCAGCGACAGCGCCGCCCAGGCTCTGTGTGTGTCCACTGCGGCCTCCTCATCACCCACCCCAGCCCTCATCTCGATAAAATTCCTCATTTCCAAGCCTTTCACCCACCCATTCTCAATTTTGTGGAGGAACTCATCACATTCCCATAGTAATTTCCTTCACCGTTCGTGCCGCCTTGACCTTGCGCTATCCTTATGCAATTGAATTCATTTGTCAAAAGCTTGCTTGAACAGGTAAGTTTTCAACTGGGTCTTGAAAGATAACAGGTAGTAAAGTAATGTAAATTTGCTATCTTTCATACCCAAAAGTGGATTTCCAGAAACTTCAGGTTTTGTCCTGAAATTCTATTAGGGAGCTTCAGAACCACATTTATAAAATTGTACTTTAAAAACATCCTATCTTCCTTTAGTATTATTCCTATCCATTGAAAGATCATTGACTGTTCAATCTTTTATAACTAATCCCAGCCCAGGGGATAGTTGAGGCATACAATCATTATTTAAACTATTTTAAATAAATATCTAAATTAAGCAAACTACTGCTAGAAGAAAATGCTGGAACAGTTCACAGAGGAGGTAAAACTTCTTCCTTCTGCTTTCCATGTTCACTGTATGCACACGTGAATCCAGAGACAGGCACTCTAACCCATATGAATCAAATACATGGAGCTACTATGTAAACAACTGTCACATTGACTTCAATGATATGTGAACACATTGGTAGCACAGTGATGTACAGTGATGACATTGAACCCCTGAACATGGTTCAGTGTTAGACTGAGAAATTTCAGCCTATCCCCAGTAACATCACAGTAGTATTGTCCTTGTCAGTGTAGGACTGTAACTTATATGCACACACATAATATAGGATTATGTATTACAGTTGTATATTCCTGCACTGCAGAGTATTGGACAAAAAAATCAAATAATTTGATTGTTTCTGTCTGGATTTTATTGTTTCTGGGTGGAGCAAGGTACTTGTTGCTTCCTTATTGCAGATTGTTTATTCTTTAAGACATTTTCCTATTTTTTTAAAAAAAATATTCATGTTTATTGTGCCTTTTTTCTTACTATATTCCTTTTATGTACCTTCTCTCTGCCAATGGCTGGGAGAACATTGTACCAGGACAAAGATATGACTCTGCGCAAAAGAGGTTGATTTTGACCACAGCTTGAGAACCCTGATAATAAACATAAATAGTAGGGCTGGGCGGTTTCGTTTCGTTAATTCGTTAATAATTCGTTAATTTTGTTGATTACGAAGCGATAACGAACCACTCTGGAGCAATTTTTTTTAAAAACGAATTTTTAAAGACGTTTTGTAAATGCGTCGTATTTTGTTATTGTATTCGTTTCGTTATTGTTCTGAGGTCGTTTCGTTATTATTTCCGCATGTCTGGGGCAAGTTTTATAGTTGTTTTTTGTTTAATTAGTGAAAAAAAATTATAATATCACACCAACAGTCAACAACAGAGGGAGAGGGAAGCTTCAGAAGTTCTTTTAGCGTATTGCGCGATCGCGGCCGCCATTAACGAATCGATTCGTTATTGTTTCGGTTATTGTTTTGTAATTTTTTTCACATTTACGAAATTTC